TATTTTTTATTTTGTATTAATTTTTCGTCTATGAAAACATTGTAAATAAACAATTGTAAATAAAATTTCTTAATAAAAAGATTTACTTTTTACGTTATCCTATGTTAGTATATATTTATTACAAAATAATAAGAATATTATGTAAGAAAAACACTTTTCCATAGTAATCTTATTTGCTACAGGAAATACAAAACCTATCGCTCATGTAAGTATTAATTATTAAATTAAACATTGTATAAGAATGTTGCCCATAATTCCAATCTTGCTGTGCAGCTATAAATGATTATGAATTAATTACAGAAACTTGGAAATGAATTAATTTTCTACTGCCGAATTGATTTATTAAGATGTTAAATTCTTATTGTTTATTACGGTGTAAAATTTTACCGCCTGCAATCAGCGCTATCCATGATTTCGGACCAGAAACTCAAAAAAGTAATAGGAACACAGAATAGGCGACGAGGTCGTCGAAGAGCACATCATTTATAAAGCTCGTTAATTATAAAATACTTTTAAAATCAAATTTATTAAACTTTATTATTTATTATTGTATTTCAAATTAGAAATTATTTAATATATTAATATAGAAATTTAGAAAGTATACATTGCATATCCATTAAATTTTTAAAAACAGATATACAATCCATTGAAATATTATTAATTATTACTTATTACTTTACCCTTAGTGGCTGGCTCTTGCATATAAATAATACACATGTCCATAAGTCTCCTATAATTTACACTCTATACTCAATTTATCTTTAACTATTACCAAGTGCCCATTCTCCATCTTTTCAATGATCCTTACATTTCCATGTTCATGCCATATATCCTTCTCTGTTGATACATATGCTGCCACTTTCCTGTTTCTTGATTCGACATAATTTTCTCTTCTTAGTGCCTTCATTCGAAACTCTCTCCTTTCTTCATATACCTCAGCTCCAACATTCTGAAATTTAACACATTGACGATGATCACTGACTTTGACAACTGATATTAATATTTAGATCATATATCAATTATATAGATCAGGAATACAAGATACCTTTCAATCTCTGTGTATTCCTTGTATCTAGCTGTTATAAGAGGCCATTACCTAAATTAATTTTATCCTTTTTTGTCTGCCTAAGCCATCTCCATATTCTGAATCTTTAGTTGACCATCAAAGATTTCTATTTCGTATGTCATATGGTTAACCGACCTAGAATCCAATAGATATATCATAACACATTTGTATCGCTGCTTCAATTTTCTCTTGCTATAAAATATAATACTTGGCATCCAATGGCTCTACGCTGGTGACATTTCATGAGTCCAATATGTAGCTAATGTTGTACGTGTCTGCTTATTTCAACAGAATATTGTCATGAACCGACTCTACGTTACATAGAAAACACCTAATCCAAAATTTCGAAAAAAGAAGCGTAAAAGTAAATTACATAGCACGACCTGACAGCCACGGACACATTCGACACTATTATTCCAAAACGCACGACCGAAACGGAAAAAAAATAACCAATCCCGTCAGAGAAAATCCACTGTACGCAGACGTATAGAACAAACCTAATCAAAAAGTCTAATTTCGGAAATAGAAGAGAAAAAATTCTATTACGCAGCACGATTTCACAACCACAGGCACTTTCGGAACTATTTCTTGAGAACGCACTCTCGAAACCGAAAAAAAATATCCAATCCCGGTAAGGAAAAAATCACTCTACGCGTATCAGTGGAACAATCCGAATCAAAAAACCTAATTCAAAAACCAGAAGCCAGAAAAGTAAATTGCGCAGCACGATCTGACAGCCACTGACACTTCCGGCGCTATTTCTCGAAAACGCACGCTCGAGACCGAAAAAAAATATCCAATCCCGTTAAGGAAAGAATCTCTCTACGCGAATCAGTGGAACAATCCGAATCAAAAAGCCTAATTCAAAAACCAGAAGCCAGAAAAGTAAATTGCGCAGCACGATCTGAGAGCCACTGACACTTCCGGCGCTATTTCTCGAAAACGCACGCTCGAAACCGAAAAAAAATATCCAATCCCGTTAAGGAAAAAACCACTCTACGCGAATAAGTGGAAAAATCCGATTCAAAAAGCATAATCCAAAAACTAGAGGCCCAAAAAGTAAATTGCGCAGCACGATCTGAGAGCCACTGACACTTCCGGCGCTATTTCTCGAAAACGGACGCTCGAAACCGAAAAAAAATATCCAATCCCGTTAAGGAAAAAATCACTCTACGCGAATCAGTGGAACAATCTGAATCAAAAAGCATAATTCAAAAACCAGAAGCCAGAAAAGAAAATTGCGCAGCACGATCTGAGAGCCACTGACACTTCCGGCGCTATTTATCGAAAACGCACGATCGAAACCGAAAAAAAATATCCAACCCCGTTATAGAAAATTCCACTCTACACTAATATATAAAACAAACCTAATCAAAGAGCCTAATTTTGAAGGTAGAAAACAAAAAAATTAATTGCGTCGCACGATCTGAGAGCCACTGACACCTTCGGCACTATTTCTCGAAAACGCACCCT